AGTACGTGTCAATTTGATATGCAAATGTGTGACAAATGATAGTGAACAAGTTGTCGCTATCATCACAGTCCCAAACGGGTACTCTCATCATCACAACACATGTTCATAGCCATTGTTACATTGCAAATCGATTCTCATTAATCTCGGAAAATAACACACATTTGCATATCAAATTGACACGCACTGTGTAAAACGAGAAAATTATGGTGAAGTATTAAAATATATTTTCACCACATATCGCAACCTATTATCAAACTATTCGCTATCGTTTTCTTGCTGATATACTTCATCCCGTAACTTCCCCTTTTTTGTTCTCGACGAACAGAAAAAAAATCATCAACATCAAATCATTCGAGTTCGGGTTTCGTTCGGGTTTTTAGGGAAAAGGGAAAGAATTGACGGTATCGAAAGCATCGAGAAAATAAAAAAATCGCATCGAAAAACTATATCAAAATGTCCTCGGAAAAGAGCTCAGAAATCATCGATAAATATCATTCATGGGAATTTCACGACCCGTTTTACGTGAAGTGGCGTAAAACTCGGTGAAAAACGCGATGTTCGCGGCCTTTAGTAGTCGTTAAATATGTTTTTCACTAGTGTTTTTCATATCACTAGGGTGGTGAAACTCCAATGATAATTTTCAATAACGCTTTATCGAAGTTTCACCCGTGATATGAAAAACACTAGTGAAAAAGATATTTCACATTTCACTTCGCGGAAAATAATTTCCTTATCGGTCGCGAAAACATATACGTCTTGTTAGTTCACATGAAGTATTACACCACTTCACGTTAAACGGGTCGTGAAACTGCACAGGTACTCGCCAGAATTTCGCTCCGACGAAAATCTCCACAAAAATCATATCATGAAAAATGTTTCCACTCGATTTCATGTGAGCTTACAGCCAATCTCGTTTCTCTGGCTTCCCTCCTCCTGTATCTTTGGGGTCTGGCCGACACGCTGAGAAAATTATATATGATAATCGTGATATCTCAACTATGATGAATATCACAGTATTGACTGTTAGCCTTCAACAACGCGGTGTTCTCTTCGTGATGCTTCTCGTGAAGTCGTATACAAAACCTGGCATGGAAAGAATTCAGATAATAATGAAGTTTCACCCGAGTGATATTAAAAACAGTCGAGAAACTCGTAAAACACATGTGGCGTTATTCAACCACTTTTTCAAACACCAAGGTGCCACGGCGTTTACGGCTGAAACTGCGCTGTTTTTATGCGATTACGCTGTATGTGTAGTTCAGCATTATTTTGGAAAAAAAATCTGAATTTTTGGTTTTCGCAAAAAAAACTCATACTTTATTTTCCATCGTTAATCGTGAGAAAAATGGTGACTTTTTTTATTTTTTTACTAAGTCGACGAAAAAAGTACTTTTTACGAAAAAAATATGAAAGCTTCTATAACGTGATCGTGAAAATGAAATGATCGCCTTGTTTAGTATACGAATACTTGACATTGGGAAAAATAGGTTTTTTTAATTAACTGTTTTCATGATTTTTTGGTGTTTTTGTAGGAAATACTCTCGAAAACTTTATTGTTTTCAACATACAGCGCGTGTCAATTTGATATGCAAATGTGTGTTATTTTCCGAGATTAATGAGAATCGATTTGCAATGTAACGATGGCTGTGAACATGTGTTGTGATGATGAGAGTACCCGTTTGGGACTGTGATGATAGCGACAACTTATTCACTATCATTTGTCACACAATTGCATATCAAATTCACACGTATTGTATATGCACAATATACATAACTTGTTTTTTTTCTATCAAAAATTTCTCACCGATAAACAGGGTCCTTAACCCCTCCATCGTAATATTCCGCGTCTTCCCACATTCTGGGTTCACATGCAACAACAACATGGTGTATTCTCTCATCACGAGCATTATCGATGCGCGTGTAATCTATCGTTCCTCGTCCATTTGCATAAGGAGTTAGATTCACATTTGCCGTTGCTGCTCTTAAAATTGGCTCCCCTGAAAGGTGACTTCATCTGAGTCAAAACGTGATGATGCGTTACATTCATATTCGAAGTCCCTGGGCCTCTTCAGAGTGCAGGAAAGTTGTATTATTAGGAGGAAATAGAAACGACGTGATTGCCACATATCGAAAAAGTACTTAACACTGTTCTTGTGTGACGAGGGGGTTACTAATGACTAAGACCATGAGCTAATAAGGTGAAACAATATTATCACATACAATACACTGGAGTTTCACCACCCTAGTGATATGAAAAAACACTAGCGAAAAACATATTCCACGACTACTGCATATCACCGCGAATATCGCGTTTTTCACCACTATTACGCCACTTCGCGTAAAACGGGTTGAAACTCCATTATACTTATCAATCTTTAGATACTAGTTCGTGTAGAGGCGCCCAGACGTGTCACTATTTTGCTTATCATACAGAGATAAATACGCCTTGGTGATATCTTTGAAAAACGCACATTTTTATCATCCATATAAATAGATGAGGTCACTTGTAAATTGACAAACACGATAGGGTATTAAATGTTTCATGAATAGCTCTCCGGAGATACCCATTGCGTGCACAATATACGTTTAGTTTTCTCCATACAATTCAACTTCGGAATGCAGGAAACTCCTCGGGGTTTGTGTTGAACTCTCTGAGAAGAAAAAAAACTCGGCAAAATAATTTCGTGGCGAGTGACGCTACTTTCGATTTTTCCTTAAGCTCTACTTCTGGAGGGCAATCGAAGAAATGGGAAAATGTTGGTGATGATGATGATGATGATGGGGAATCTCCCACTGGTATGAACAGCTGCTCGGGAGTTGGAGAATTTACTGTTTTGGACATAATACGGGGGAAAATATGAAATGTCACATGCATTCGAAGAGGTACACTAGAGGGGTGATATACAAAATCCAAGTTGAAGGGTAAACCCGAAACCCGACAAGGCAACCAGAAACCCGAACTGTTATACAGATGGAAGCTGTTACTACCAAAGGCAACCAGAAACCCGAACTGTTATACAGATGGAAGCTGTTACTACCAAAGGCAATCAGAAACCCGAACTGTTATACAGATGGAAGCTGTTACTACCAAAGGCAACCAGAAACCCGA